TGCCGACACCCACGACGTGCCGACGTCGGAGCGACAGCGAAGAGAGAAGCTTATGGCGGAGAAGATTTTAATTTGAAGCAGCAGCGTGCATGATGTTTGCTGAGGATGCAGATATAGGCGTGAAAGCACGACGACGCGTTGACCCGATAGCGTCCGTTGCTACACTTTGCCGAGAGAGCGGAGAGAGAGAGAGAGAGAGAGAGAGAGAGCGAGCGATCGCGATTGCAGCGCCTATGTTCTTAAGGATGTGTATTCATTCTGACAGCGACGGCCTGATAGCGAAATGACAGGTGCGCGTACAAATGAGAGGAAAGTGCATGGGGAGCCCACTAGAGCTGTCGTCTCGCGTCCGAGTTAATTGGGCTGGAGGCATCGCTATACGCCCGCGTGTGCGTGCTTGCCGACACCCACGACGTGCCGACGTCGGAGCGACAGCGAAGAGAGAAGCTTATGGCGGAGAAGATTTTAATTTGAAGCAGCAGCGTGCATGATGTTTGCTGAGGATGCAGATATAGGCGTGAAAGCACGACGACGCGTTGACCCGATAGCGTCCGTTGCTACACTTTGCCACCAGTATCGTCTGCATCAGCGTCGTCGTTGTCGTCGTCGTCGTTGTCGTCGTCGTCGTTGTCGTCATCGTCGTCGTCGTCGTCATCGTCGTCATCGTCGTCATCGTCGCTGTCGTCGTCTTCGTCGTCGTCGTCGTTGTCGTAGTCATCGTTGTTGTTATCGTCGTCATCGTCATCGTCGTCGTCGTTGATGTTATCGTTGTCGTCGTTGCCGTCGTCAACTTAATCGTCGTCGTCGTTGTCGTCGTTGTCGTTGTCGTCATCGTCGTTGTCGTTGTCGTAGTCATCGTTGTTGTTATCGTCGTCATCGCCGTCGTCGTTGTTATCGTCGTAGTCGTAGCTGTTATCGTCGTAGTCGTTGCCGTCGTTAAATCGTCGTCGTCGTCGTCATCCTAGTTGTCGTTACCATCATCTTTGTCGTTGCTGTCGTCGTCTTCGTCGTCGTCGTTGTCGTAGCCATCGTAGTCGCCGCCGCCGTCGTCGTCGTCGTCGTTGTCGCTGTCGTCGTCGTCGTCGTTGTCGTTTATTCTAATTCATGTATATGCGACATAATAACAGCATCGTAGACGTCGTCGTGCGCGAGATGTGAGTGTCTGTGGTGCGCGTGACGGGTAACTGCGTTACAGAACACATCAAGAGCTAATAATACCTAATAAATAGCTCTTGAATATACACACACACACACCACACACACACACACACACACACACACACACACACACACACACACACACACACACACACACACACACACACACACACACACACACACACACACACACACACACACACACACACAATACACGGCACGAGTCCAATAACATGAGAATAATTAAATTATCGTAGCTCTAATACATGCATTATTCGGTTACTTGCTAGAACGACGAGCAACTAGTATTCCTCTACACACACAATTAACGCTGTCATCAGAATTATGGCCATGGTTACCTTCTGATAAATATCCATTCCCGCACGCACACACACGCATGCACGTACGCACTCACGCGCATACGCACATACGTACGCAGGCGTGCACACAAATTTAAAAAAGCTATTCAGGAAGATTTCGAATCCATTACTAAACATAAGATCACCAATAGGGCAGAAAATGTAGCCGTGGACGTCAGTTTCATGGTCGTATTGTTACCTGAACTGTTACTGTCGCGCATCCATTCCCGTAATGACCTTATCGTGCATATATTATATGCCCTCTACAGTCTACACACTTGAGTCTGCAGAGTTAGTATACCTACACACGCGGGCTCTTCTATATAAATATATGATAATAATTATTAGGGGTGCGTGACAAGCCGCAGCTCCTGCATTTTCGCATTTCGAATCGAAAGCAAGAAAACGACACGAAACCTGTGTCCGCGTGCACGCGTGCGCGCTGTATGGAAGAGTGTGCACGTGCACGTGTTTGTGTGCGCGCACGCGTGTATACAAGTATGTGCGTGTGATCGACTATGTGCGTATATGTGTGTACATGCACGTACGCACGTGCGTGCTAACCCTAACTCTGACCCTAAATCTAAACCTACGCCTAATTCTGACACTAACCATAGCTCTAAGAATAAACAGAACTCTGACCCTAACCATAGTTGATATAAGCATAATTTTGATGAGTCATCATGCATGGGGTTCAGCGGGTGAAGCGACAACATAGCATATCCGCATGTAAACGTATTCGTACATCTCGTTACCAGATAATAATATATGAGGTATTATTAGCTCCTGATCGGGTTAGTATTTCACCGCGCGAGAGCACACTGTGCATATAAATTTTCTCTGCTTTACTCTATTATCTAACTGACTCCTGACGGCTAACCGCGTGTATGTTGTGCTATCGCGTGTATTTCACCGCGCGCGGGCGCTATATGACACATCCGCATGTGAACGTATTCACCTCACACATAGTTCACCGCGCGATGGCCATATTTAATGTGTTGTACAACAGTAGAAGGCGTCCATAGGCAGCAGGCCTGAATAAGCATTGAACAGAAATTAATTAAAAATACTCACACTGTTACGTCGCATACACAACATACACTTTATTCATGTTTAAAAAAACTACAGATTCATGCTCTATGCTCCGCTCGAAACATTTGCCAGCTCTATGATGCAAATTTCTACAAAATAGTCCGATCACGTTTCAAACACAAAAATGACCAACCGGTCACCATTGCTATAAAATACGCCACTTGACGGAATGTCACAACTACGCGACAAGGCCCATTTTACTTGTAATGCTTTCTAGACGTCAGTTCATAGTAATGTATATACATGGACTGCGGTGTTTTATGATGTAATTACAAACTAACAATAAACAAAAATCTTGTATTGTTAAGACAAACAATAAACACGAACTTGTTAGATCAGCGCGTGTGACTATTATGTCCTGTGATACAGAAACGAAACCACGTTTCACATATCGTATATAATCTTGTTATTTATTATCCGTAAAGAAAATCAAAGACTTTCTAATGCTAAGGGCACACGAGCGTATTTTATCGCCCGATCGCGGCGATTAGAATCGCCAGCGAATTTAATCGCCCGATGACGA